CCGTTCCAGGGCCTAACCACTCTCCTTGTAAAGAACTTCCCCCTAACATCCAACCTCAATCTTCCCTCCTTCAATTTGGATCCATTTCCCCTAGTCCTGCTGTTGTCAGCCCTTTTGAAGAGTTTAGCCCTTTTGAAGAGTTAAACATCATTAACATTGAACATCAGTTGGAATTCAGACAGCATTTTTGCAGGGAGAGTGAAAGGTGAATGCCTGAAAGTAGAGGGGCTTTGCACTGTAGAATATCTTCAGTAGAGTAGAAGGCATCTAGAATTCATTAGTGACACCAGTGGTGGAACTTAATGGGAAACCTGTTCCTGAATCTCACTGAGAAGAACAAACTGGGACTTGTTCAGACACCAGACTTGTAAAACATGGTTAAACACAGATGTAACTGCAAGTGGCCATACTAGAGTGTTAAACTTTTCCTTTACCAATCACAGAATGATAGAATGGTTTGGAAGGGCCCTCAAAGATCATCTGATTACAACCTTTTGCCACAGTTGGCATTGCCAACAACTATATCAGGCTTTCCAAGGCCCCATCCAGCCTGTCCTTGAACACGTCCAAAGATGGTGCATCCACAGTTTCTCTGGACAGCCTGTGCCGGGGCCTCACATCTCTCTGTGTGAAAAACCTCGCCCTGACATCTAATCTAAATCTCCCTTGCTTTAGTTTAAAACCTTTCCCCCTTGTCCTATCAGTAAAACTTGTAGTAGGTTGTGCTGTTTGTTCTTCAGGAAATCCCACTTTAAGACATAAAGCTGAAAAACTACCTGTTAGAATTCAAATATTTTGATGATCTGCTGATTGATTCTGTGATGATCAAAACACAGTAAAGAGTCCCTACTTTTACTTAGACAGCATGAGCTGAACATGGAAGAAGTTTGTGAGAAATGATTTAGGGTTTGGAAAGCTGGCAACACAGATTGAGCGGGTTAAGTGTTTTTAGTTTAGGAGAGGAAGTAAGTGAATTTGGGCAGATTTTTCGGAATTACTTTAGTGTTGTGGACCATTTGGAAACACTGAAAAGTAACAGAATTGTCCTTTCTCAGTTTTTGCATACATGAGTGAGAGAAGGGTCTCTTGATAGAAGAACATACTGAGTTTGTTAGTGTAGTTTTTGAGATGTAAAACTTTCATGACAGTTAGTGAATAACATCCTAGTTGTGTACGAATGTCATACATGTATTAAGCAGTTCTGTATTTTAATGATAGAAATGATTGGGATGTTACTGTCATTTCAGTAGCTTTTCCAGCGTTCACTTCTGAAATTGAACATGCATTAATTTTTGTTTTGTAGTTCTCTATGTAGTGTTCTGTATTAGATAAAAAATTTTACGTGCTCTTAATGGGGAACGCTGTATTTGTTTCCTTCTGTAGATGGAGTCTGCCTGTGTTTCAATTCATGAAGCTTTGAAGTCTGTGATCGATTATCAAACTCACTTTCGACTGAGAGAAGCGCAGGGCCGCAGCAGAGCTGAGGATTTAAACACAAGAGTTGCTTATTGGTCGATAGGGGAAGCAATCATTCTTCTTGTTGTTAGTATCGGGCAGGTATTTCTCCTCAAAAGCTTCTTCTCGGATAAAAGAACCACAACAACTCGTGTTGGATCATAACTGGTAGTGATAATGCTTCAGGTCATTATGCACTATTAATCTGCAAAGTTGTTATTCTCCGATTAATTCTAGGTACAAAGGATCTAAATATGTGCAGCATTCAAGTGTGTCTACCCATCATCTATTAGAATCACAAAACAGACACAAAAAGTTATAGAAGGGACACATGATGACATTCAGAAAAAAAAAAAAAAAACCTGCTTTCTGATTCCTCTATTAAACATTTGCATTGGCCAGCCTATCTGTCTTTTACTTACTTTAACCCAAATTCAGTTTGTTTGTTTGTTTTTTTAACAGGGAATTTATCTGCAGTATAAAACTTCATAAGAACCAAGCAATCAAATGTCTGATATGCAGAAGCAATGCATATAAAATTGTGGTTTGATTATAATTTCCAGGCTGAGTGGATTGCATTATAAACAAGCAAACGCAATGAACTGTAATGCTGTTTTGATTTGCTGTTTTTTTTAAAAAAAAAAAAAAAAAAAAAAGCTGATTACATCCTTTGCTTATTTGTTAATCTGTTGCAAGTGTGACACTACATCATGGCTCACTCTCGGTCAGCCTGGTAAATCTCCACTTTGAAAACATGCTAAATTTTATAGTTGAGTGCATTTACTTAAGCATGTATTCTTCTATAGTAAGGTAGAATGTTTTTCCTCTTTTGTGATGTTTCGTTTTATTGAAGAGATTTCAAACTGAGACTACTCAGGAAATAGATTTTCTGTCTTTAAAAATCCAAATCTCCAAATTTATTTTAAAAACTTGCAATAAAATAGAGTTGTAACTTTGTCACTGAAGCTGTGCAGTGTCTGGGCACACGTTGTTGCTGCTTTTTGGATTTAAGACCAGAGGTCGCTTGGTTTGTTATGCAGCACAGCACCAGCACTGGCCAAGGCTATATTACATGTGAGGCACATACTGAGGTTTTTTCCAAATTGTTTTCCTGTTTAGAGGCCGATTTGATATTGATACTGCATTGCACGTGTGCTGTAAATTTTATTTCCTTGTGTGTGGTGCACTGATACAGTATGGCCTTGTGCATCTGATCGCCACTCTTTTTTGCTAGTGGTCAGAAAATGTTTTAAATATTTCAGGTTATCTTTTGGTAGAGTTAATAGCCACGTTGTTTCCACTGCTCGTGTAGTGAGTAGCTTATGTACTGTAAAGTCTTGCTTTATTTGGATGTGGAAGGAAATAAGTGTATGAACGTACATGTAGCTGAGATTGAACTGGTCAACTCCTTCAGGTGTATCAGGAGGAGTAAGTAGCCTGCAACTTGTAAATGCACACAAACTAAACTAAGGTGGGAAAAAAAAGTTGTATTACTGACTAATTCAAAAGATGCTTCTTAAACTAATTTTCAACAACCAGAGAAAGAATGCTGTATCCTCATTCACAGCCCGTGTTATCTCCAGCAAAATGTTGAAAGTGACCCCGAAGCATTCTGAAGAACTGACCCAGGGTAACTTCATTTTAAATGTTGTACTGATTGAAAAATGAAGTATGTACTCATCTCTGTTCCGGAGAAAACTTCCTCAGAAACCAAAACAAATAACCAAACAAAAAACCCGAAGGAGCTCAAAAATAAGTTAACAGGTCAAGGAGGTACTAAAATGCTCAATGTATGTAAAATTCAGGATTCTGTGTACTGTCTTGTACTGGAATTCAAATACTGCATTCTCCTTTTGGAATGAAAGATTCCAAAATTTGGAATGAAAGCTTCCAAGTAAATTCACAAAAGTCAGAAAGCAAAAAAAAAAAAAAAAAGTATTCCTTTTTTTGAGACAGATATGTGCCTATGCACTGTGTTTTTAACCATACCTATGTGTGTGTACTTCTGATACTCTGTAGCTTTTGGCTGCTTTGCACTCAACAGTGAAGCAAGTTCTGCGCTTTGGGTGCAAGTATCGGATGAAAACATGAGTTAATTACCAAATTGTCTTCTATAATCTTCCAAATTTTGAATATCACTTCTGTAGTTTTAATCAAAACAAAGACATTTGTTTTAAAGATTGAAATTTTTTTTCCACTGTGTTCTGTGTGCTATTAAAATGGGTAAGCAGTGGGGTAAACCAAACACTGGTTGTCCATTGTATACATGTCTGTTCTTTCATAATGTTTGAATGTGTAAGGTGGGACTGTTCTGCTCAATATTGTGCCCACTGCAGAGGTTTAGTGGACTTGACCTTTTCATTAAAATTAGTTATCTGAACCAGTCCTTTGATATCTTGCTACGTAATATGCAGCAATAGCTTAAAATGCCTTTATTTTGTCGTATTAAAAACATGGCACAGACACCCATTTAAACATAGCTGTATATAGTTTTTAAAATGTGACTGAATAGGATATAATAAAACACATGCTAATATGCAGTGAGTGAAGAAATGCTTTGTGACTTTTTATTTGAGCTGCATCTTTTCATATATGAAAAGATGGCTTGATTAATGGTGTCATACGCAAGTAAATTGCCATGCGTTAATGGGGATACAACTGTGTTTTTAACTGCTAAAGACCCTGGTTTTCAGCTATTCCTTCAGTGTTTTGTGTTTACGCAACTTCTTTTCGTGTTGTGAAATGTCAGTTTTTGATTTAGCTTGGAAAAAAAAAAAGTTTGAGTAAGACAAGAAACAGACTCTGTGAATACTGTATGGGAAAATAAAAAGTTAATATATGATTGTGGTCTGGATGTTTGGTCTGCATTTGGGGAGCATTATTTGTTTAAAAAGTTTTGAACGACAATCTGAGTGTCAACTCGTATTTTAATACATCACACTGAAAAGTCTTTATTACCTGAGCTTTGATCACTCTTCCGTTACTGTATGTTGAGAAGTGATTCAATTCACTGCTGTTGATAATTAGCTGTACTTCATGGTCACTAGAGAAAAACAAAGTTGTGATTTGGAATAGTGGGGCTGTGGTTGGCCAGCATTGCTTGGAGGTCAGCTGGGGGTGGTAAGGCAATGGCTTCCTTCTGACATCATGTTAGCTGCACCTGCTGTCTTCTCTGTGGTTCTCTGTTGAGAGCTAACCAGCAGTTGCTTTGGTTTATGACATCCTAGTGTAAAGTATAGCTTGTGTGTTGGTGGATGTGTTACCAAAGCAGTTTGTTCACAGTCTCTTGTAAACCGCAGTGCAGGAACTTCAGGCCTTCACTAAAAATGCAAACACAGAGCTACCCTGCTTACAAATATTTGTGTTCAGGAAGCGAATGCACAGTGGTGATGGAGACCTCCTTTTGAGCCCTTATGGTTCACGCTTCAATAACTTGTATCTTCTTAATACTTATGTATGCATATTATTATATACCTATACAATAATATATGTCTATCATATATCTATATATGATGATATATATGATGGAAAAAAAATTCAATGCCTTAGAGCTTGCATGGTTTTTAGTTATCTCGTAAACTTTAATATCTGAAATTGAAAGTGGAAGCCAAGCCTCTTACTCTGGAAATACAAATAAATATAATCACACTTAAAGAAAATGTGGAAATCATCACTGCATAGATGATAGAAGGCAATCTGAGTAATGAGAAATAGCTCATCATAATACTATAAACAGTGAACAGTGGGAAGGAGAATTGTATTTGTTCTGAGATTGTGTGAGGAGCTTATTATCATACAATTTTTTTTTTTTTTTTTGCTTTTGAATACTCCAAACAAAATTCATACAAGTTCAGAAATACTCATTTTCTTAGAGTTTGGTTTTTTATTAACAGAAATAACTACAATATCAATACCCTTTGCTTGGTCTTTCATCTTCCCTATCCCTGCCCTGCTTCTTTCAAATAAGTTTATATGAATCCCTGCTGTGGTGGAGTTGTAGCTCCTATATCCTATGCTTTGGTGTAGTTGTTCGCTGGGCTAGTGTAAGCCCATTCTTAACTCCAAATAGGGAAAGAGCAAGGATGGCCATACAGTGTTACTGATTTTACTGCTGTGCTTGCATGCTGAGAGAGACAGACAGCAGCTTCCTCCTTGTAGATACAACCTGTCCTGTGCCCCTTCCCTTGCAAGACTTTGTTATTTGGCAGCAAAAAAGGACCACGAGCAACATAGCGTGTATGAAAGTGCAATTTCTGTGGTGGGACCAGCACAGCAGAATGTGGTTGTTAACATTGTTTTTTAATATCAAAAAAGGTAGTGTATGAGGTTGTCTTGTAATACATTTGGTGAGGCCAGAGTTCAGGTTTTTCGTTTTCCATTTAAACTGAACAAGAGTATAATCAGCATGGAGGAAGTTTATATTGATAATGATGAAGAAGACTTGCATATGTTTCAGTCAGAGTGGCTGCAAGAGAAGAGCAAACTTGTTTTACTGGGGAGAGGAGGAGGATATAAAAATTGCTTTTATGAATTAAAATGACACAAAATGCAGGAGTACTGTTTGAGCATTACACACACAGCATTATGTCTGTGAGTGTGCTATTTTCTTGTGGGATCAGAATGCTGCCATGCTCTCTGCATGTGTGCTGGAGGGCTGTGAGGCTGTGGTGGTGAAATAAGAGCATGGAATCAGCAGAACTCATGGAGAAGAACATAGCATAGTACAGATAGGCCAGTGCAACCTTTCATGAGTATTAAATACTATTAAAATAATTACTCAACTCCATGGCATTTCTGGCTTATGCGGAAAGTGCTGAACTTTCAAGAATCAGGAAAGCAGGAAGGCTGGGACTGCGGATCCCACCAGAGGCACCGCTTGGAGAGACTAGCTCTAAGTAACGTGATGGAGCTGTGGATGACCATGCTCACTGCAGGGGAGGTGGAGAAGATGACCTTTAAGGTCCCTTCCAACTCTAAGTATTCTTTCTTACACCTCTGCAATACACTACATGAAAGTACAGCAGAGTTCCAGGTTAATGCTTTGTGTCTTGGGCAAAGAACACTCCCCTTTTTGTGTCAAATCAATTTCATTCTCGCTTAAATCTTTTAGACTGTAAAAACAAATATTTGATCCATGTCATGCAATCAGAAAACTAGGAACAGATAGAAAACTAATGCTTAATAGAATTAAAGATGAAAAAGAACTATAAACGAGGCTATTTAAAATATTGCTACTAACATTCAGATCTACTAAATAGGTTTCATCTGGAAAAACTTTAAAGAGACAAAATACAAAGTGATGCCATTGAAAATAAAACTCACATAACAGGTGTATATGGAACTTCTGCCTGAAAGTTGGTTTTTTTCCTCCTTAATTTAATAAAACATGATGTTCTGAAGGAAACTAAGTATCAGGTTTACCTGCTGAAATGCCTACTCAGTGGTAGTCTTCCAGCATCTTGGATGGGAGCAATCTCAGCTGAAGAAAAAAGGAGCTCCAGTATCACATTGGGTGGATTGCAACGCACAGATGATTAAAGACACTGGAAAATAAATAATTCATAAGTTAACTGGAGTGGTCCTGTATATATTTGAATAATTTCGTATACAAAATCAGTTTATATCTACTTGTGCCTATCACCAACCCATATTTATAGATACCAAGATATAGATATAGATATAGATACCAACACATACTTATAGATTGCCCCCACAGAATAAAGAATCGACTGTGTATTTAGATATAGTTATTACTGCATAGCCTGCATAATGCATTCACCTGGATGATTAGACCTTAGCTAAAAGTCTTGTGAAGACCATGTTTATACAAAGTCTTGTAAAGATCTATGCAAAGTCTTTTATTGCAAGTAGTTAACACAGCAGAGGTAACCCAGCAGTCTGAACAGCAACTTCTGGTTTACATACATATTACCAATACTACATATTTACTAAAAGTCTTCTGAATGAAACATCTGCTTACTGCTGGACTGCCTCACGTTACACGTTCTTTTAAATGCTCTGCAAGCTTTGACTTTTTTATACTCTGAGTGTACTTTATCTAAGTATAAAAATAAGTATAAAAATTATCAGATAAAAGCCTTTATCTGAGAAAGGCTTTTTAAAGCGTTTTAAATTGCTTGACAGAGATCAGTGAGCAGTAAGGTCTAGCTAAAAGAGTTTACCAGATTTCCAAAGGGCTTCTAATTATGTCTCAGGCACTTTTAAAAGAAGCTTTAGGCTTGAAAGAACAACTTAATTAGTAAAGCCTGATCAATTATTAATAAATATGAAAGGGACTGAGTGGGTAGGGGTGAGTTAATGGTTAACTCCTGCAGTGGAGGAAAGATGCCAATACAGTTCTGCAGAGATCTGTCCTATAATGTGGATTGTCCAGCAGAGGTGTATGAGGGCTGCACTGAAAGTAATGCCTGCCATTTTATTATAATGGCCCACAACCAATGAATGCTAACAGTATGGCAACAGAGGTTGAAGCTTCCCACCAATATTCCATTCCATCCCACATTGTTGCCATGTGTCAGATGGCAGCAGAGGAGCAGTCTGAAAAACAGCACCTGACATGGAAGAGCATATGGAGCAAAGGTGTGGAGTTGAAAACTGCATGTCTTGAAGCTTGCACCCACTGACATCTAACAGTCCTTGCTGAACCCTTATGGAGACCAGCAGTGGTGACAGACAAGCCACACTCTGGACAGCTGCACAAATCAGCTGATGATTGTGACTACACTGAAAAACAGTACTTCATATCTGAGAAGTTGCTCTATCAAAGCGCTCTTGTGCTCTTTGTATCTTTTCTACCCTCCGTGGAAATAAGTAGAAGGCTTTTTTTTAGGAGTAACCTACAATGTTAATACCAAAATGCTATATAAGAAACTAATAGAAAAGTGAATTTACAGAGGCTGAATGCATCAAATGCAGATTTTTTAATAGCAGAAAGGTGGACAGTGTTTTGGAGAACTGTAAAGGCAGACAGAGTAGTGAGCAGTAAAACAACCTTTTAGCTCCTACAGGAGAGAGAACACGTGCAGAGCTGCCCTATCACCTTTGGGAACAGACAAGCACCAAACATAACCATACATCACTGTGCAAGAAGCAAATTTTGCTTTTGCAGAAAGCAACAAACATCTACCTACCTTTTTGTACGTGACAGCATATGAACCCAGTGCAAGTACAGTTATCTAATTTTATCACACATATGCAATCAGCTGTGCATTATTTACCCAGTAGATGCAGACAGCTGCAATCATAGTTACCACAAACAATTATTACTGTTTTTATACTGTTATTAATGATCATATACGTGAATTAGAGGTTACCTTGTCTTACTTCAGCAAACATAGATATTAGCAGCTGGCATTCTTTTCCCACTGAAAATAAAGAGCAAACCAAGGTTTTCTTAATTATTTTCCCCAGAACAGAGAACAGACCCAGAGCAGTGTGTCAGCTGACAGCTCTTCTGGAAACCAAGGCTCACTCTTTCTCCGGATAAATCTATGCCAATTCTAGCAGAGCAGAACGTGGTTCACCGGCAGATGTTATCAAACTGATATCGTTAGAAAAACTGGGAAAGCTTTTGTACTTGGAATTCTGAAGAAGGGCTTGAGTGCCTTAAAGTACATACCACCCATTTAACAAAACACTTTACCTCTGAATTCCAATCCATGAGCAGTATTTGTGCTTCGACCACCACTTTTAAGACAAAATATAATTCTGGCAAAGACAGGCAATAATTTAATAATGATGCAAGAGATTGCTTTACTAATGCAATACTAAAGAGATGCAACTGTTAGCTGTTACATCTTAAATGCTTATTTGGAAAAACAACATCAAGAAAAGGATGAGTTCACCAACAGCAAAACTGTGATTCTAACCTTGTCAAATGGCTTTTATGAACTGAAATTCAAATCTCTGGATGACTGTGATCTGCTCATCAGGAGCTACATTGTTTAGGCACAGCACAGTAATTAGACAGCAGTTTGAGCTGTCTGTCTTTGGCATGGTGATGATGCCTCTTCAGAAAAAGACGTGGAAAAGAAACAATGGGAAATGCTTCTTACATCCCCTGAAGAAGCTGAACATCCATGGAACTATGGGAGTATTTTAACGAGAGCTTCATCTGAAATTAGACAGCAGCACTGATTTTTATTCAATTTTTTGAAACACTGTTTTTTTTTTTTTTAGCACTGCAGCTCCTCTGCATTAGATGTTAGAATGCTGACTCCTATTTCTATTTCAAGCCTATATTGATCTACAGATGGTTCACTAATGGGATGACATGCACGACACAGTGCTGTACCTTCTGAACCACAACATCATTTACAAAGCCTCAGTTACGTTTCTGTAATTGGAATCAGGATGAGTTCTCACTGGTACTTTGCTAAGTTTTTATCAATACTCTGAGAAAAAAATTGAACACTGACAACATTTTTTCACCCAGAGGGTGGTGAGGCACTGGAACAGGCTGCCCAAGGAGGTTGTGGATGCCCCATAAACTCATAGAATGGCTTGGGTTGAAAAGGACCACAATGATCATCCAGTTTCAACGCCCCTGCTATGCGCAGGGTCACCAACCACCAGACCAGGCTGCCCAGAGCCACATCCTTGGCCTCGTGTTTCTTGAATTTACCTTGTAGACCTCCTTGTTTGCAGTAGCAGAAAGCCCCACGTACACCAGTCCGATGGCTTACTGTGCAAAGGCTGGTTTGGCTTGGTATTTAATGATTGTGATTTCAGGTGTCCACTAACAATCTCTTAGAAGGAATGGGAGAAGACAAGGTTTTCTGAATCCAAAATGTATTCCAGTACTTTCGCTATGACACAGGAGCACTGGGTGCTTGAAATAGCCATGTTATAGTTTTAGAAATGGATTTCTTTCCTGAAGTCTTTGACTCTTTATGTCCGTTCCCAAAGAAACTGGTGAGCACAAATTTGGATCCAAGCAGACGCTGGGACACTGCTGAGCTGGACAGTAGCTCTAGGTCACAAAGAACACTTGCTGGGATCAAACCTGTTAATAAAGCCTTGGTTTTTAAGGTGGAGGATCCCTGCAGGCATTCAAGGCCAGGCTGGATGTGGCTCTGGGCAGCCCGGTCTGGTGGTTGGCGACCTGCACGTAGCAGGGAGTTGGAACTGGATGAGCACTGTGCTCCTTTGCAACCCTGGCCATTCTATGACTCTGTGATTCTATGATTTGAACATATGATATGAACAGAGGTGCTAGAAAGATTAACGAGTCCAAATTAAGCGAGAAGCACGAGATTGCAATACAGTTCCCTACCCCTAACCCTTCCAGCCCTTGTTCAATTTGTTGCTTCAACTTAAAGTAAGCCCTAAGCACCGCAGATCAGCTCGGCAGCCCTTCCCCGCCGCTCCGAAGCCGCAGCCCGCACTCGCTCAGTACCACAGCGCTCGGCCGGCGCAGGCGCAGTGCGCGCGGCAGTGCCGGCGTTCCCGCGCGGATGGCGGCGCCGCATCACGCAGGTGCGGCCGGGTGGGGCGGCGCGGCGCAGGTGCGGCGGGGAGGGCCGTTCCGCCGCGGGTCATGTCGCGGAGCGCCGCGTCGTCGCCCTCCGGGGCCGCCGCCGCCGCCCCCCTCCCGCCGCCTCCGCTGCCGCTGCAGCCGCCCTTCGGTCCGGACGCGGGTCCCGGAGGCGGACGAGCCGAGCTGAAGCCGGTGCGGCGCTTCATCCCTGACTCGTGGAAGAACTTCTTCAAGGGGAAGCGCGGCCGCGGCTCGGGCTGGGACGGAGCGACGTCCGACGTGGGGTTCGTGTCGGACGGGACACCATGCTCGCCGCCCGCCTCTCCCGGCCAGCCGCGGGTGCGGCCCGGCCGCTCCGCAGAGCGGTGCGAGGGGTCGGGCGGCAGCTGCCGCTCGCTGGAGGCCGAGGCCATGCTGCGCGGGGACTCGTCGGGCGCGCCCACCGGCATGACGTACGAGGAGCAGGTGGAGGCCTACCGGCAGCGCTACGCCTACATGAAGTCCTGGGCCGGGCTGCTGCGGCTGCTCGGCGTGGCCGAGCTGCTGCTGGGCGCCGCCGTCTTCGCCTGCGTGACCGCCTACGTACACAAGGACAACGAGTGGTACAACGCCTTCGGCTACTCGCAGCCCTACGGCTACGACGCTTCCTACGGCGGCTATTACTACAGCGGGCCCAAAACGCCCTTCGTGCTGGTGGTGGCCGGCGTGGCGTGGATCGTCACCATCGTGCTGCTGGTGCTCGGCATGTCCATGTACTACCGCACCATCCTCCTCGACTCCAGCTGGTGGCCGCTGACCGAGTTTGGCATTAATGTGGCCATGTTCCTTCTGTACATGTCTGCCGGCATCGTGTACGTCAACGACGTCAACCGAGGGGGACTCTGCTATTACCAGCTGTTCAAGACGCCGATGAATGCCTCTTTCTGCCGTGTGGAAGGAGGTCAGACGGCAGCCATCATCTTCCTGTTTGTCACGGTGGTCATCTACCTGATTAGCGCCTTGGTTTCTCTGAAGCTGTGGAGGCACGAAGCAGCCAGGAGGCAGAAGGAGCAGATGGAACGAGAGGTGGGTCGTGGGGATCCTTTTGGTGGGCACAACTGTAAGGTCTGCTGTATGGCCCTGAGCCTTCACAGAATCACTGGGTGGCCCGGGTGGGAAGGGACCTCAAGGATCATGAAACTTCAACTCCCCTGCCACATGCAGGGCCACCACCCTCCACATTTAGTGCTAGACCAGGCTGCCCAGGGCCGTGTCCAATCTGGCTTTGAACACTTCCAGAGACAGGGGCTGAGCCATCAACCTCAGTCACGGACAAATAACAAGTGTTGTGAAGATGTGACCCAGAGTCTTTTTGGAAAGGAACAGGTGTTGTTTGGTGGAATTCTGCATTCTCTACAGGCATTATGTGATGAAGTACTTCCGTGTGTGTGTGTGTGTGTATTCCAAACAAAGGAAAATCCAAATCATGTGCCTGTTGAGCTTTTTAGCAGGGTTGGGCTTAAAGACAACTCATTTGTTTGGAGACCACATTCTCAGCATGTGGACTGCTATTGCGAATGACAGCAAGAATATAAAATACTGGTTAGCATTTTGAAGTAAAAATCCAAGTGGTTCTTGTCTATTCAGTATTTACTTGTCTAACTGTGTTTACAGTTGTACCAGATAATCACTCAGAGGGTGGTGAGGCACTGGCACAGGCTGCCCAAGGAGGCTGTGGATGCCCCATCCCTGCAGGCATTCAAGGCCAGGCTGGATGTGGCTCTGGGCAGCCTGGGCTGCTGGTTGGCGACCTGCACACAGCAGGGGGCTGGAACTGGATGAGCACTGTGCTCCTGTGCAACACAGGCCATTCTGTGATTCTATGATAACAACAGTGATGAGAAAGCTGGTGTCTCAGTTCTGTTATTTCATCTTTTCACTTAATCTGTTTTGTGTTGTTGCTGGCCTTGTCCCTACTAAAACCACTCAATACCCACATAGTTAATGATAAACTGTCATAATGCTGCCAACAAGGGCATTTGAAGCCAATTGCATAAAACTTCTTCCATGGGAAAGCGCTCTGAAAAGCTGCTAAAAATCATTAAAAGATAGCTTAAAAATACACATATGTGGAGTTTACAAAAGCCTACCTTAAGTAATTGTCAGCATTTAAATGCAAGAAGCTCCATTCCATCTGCTTTATGGTTGTATTTCTGTTGATTTTCAGCATTTTAGTTTAATGTTGGTTTCCTTACCAAGATCTTGCATAGAACTTGAGACTCACTTTTAGGAAAGGGAATTGTAGATGTGTGAGACTAGCTAGTTTTCAGCCCGTTTTTAAATACATCCTGCAAGAATGAGGTGATTTACCTGTTGCTATTCATGTTCTTTTATTCTATTTCCTTAAGAATATTTTTGAAGTTAACATTTCTATCATATAAACTAGGATCAAGACAGTGCTGTGCAGAAGAGTAGCTGGTTGGTTACTGGTTAGTTCACCGCTGTGTTTTCTAGGCAATGAGCTAAGCTGCATGAATCACTGGAGTATGAAATTTAAAGGTGATTGAGAAGTGGTTGGAGTATTTCCTCCCTGTTACTTTCGACTGTGCTACTGAACATCTTGTTCTGGGCTTTGTGTTCTGGGCTTTCAAACATCTTAAAAATGCTTGATCTGAAAACATTCTTTTGCTAAATATGTTCATTATTTATTATAAAGGCATAAGAATATCTACAGCTTGGCTCAAAATATATATTAAGTATCTGTGCTTTTTGATTTGCTGTTTAAAATAAAACTTAAAGTTCTGTGTGGTTTTGTTTTTTTTTTTTTACAGATGAAAACACAGGTGTCTTTACCAGACAGAAAGGTAGGAAGCAAACTCATTTTTCTGTTTATTGGTATTCCCAATTGCATGCTCTTTTTTTCTTGTGACTCCTTGTTTTGACTACCTTTTTTCATTAGTTTTTTTTTCATTGTTGTTTTCTTTGGAAAAGATGAGGTTTAGTTCTGTAGTAGTAATCAGGAGAGCATTCTCTTGCTCGCAGGATTTGGAAGAAGTCTGTGAAGAGGTTAGTGCTAGTTCATCTTGGTTTTAAGATTTACTGTTGACAGCATGTGCTTTTAGTTTGTTTCATTAATTGATGAGTTCTGTAGTCTTTATCATAGAATTTTGCAGGCATGGTTATAGCAACAAAGCATCTGATGCATTACAGGATTTAGGGTTTAATTTTTTCCTTTTGGCTTCCTGTTAAAGTTGGAGAGGGGGCAGTGGGAGCTCATTGTTAGGTTTGAGATTTGAGTTTGCTGCTGTTATTCTATGACTACTCCAAGACTCTCTTACAAGCTTTGAAATACCAACAAAATAATGATTCTTGTGCTGCTGCACAGATCTGCAGGTGCACATGCTACAAAGCTTGGGCAGGATTTTAATGCAGCAGGTGTTGATGATTTCCAGAAAATTTATGGAGTATTTCTTTCAGACTTAAATGTTTCCCTTTAAATACTGTGAGCATCCTGCCACTGTCTTTTCTGTTGCTTACTTCAGTGCTTTGTTTGACATCACTCCTGTATCAAGGATTAAATTGTAGAATTGGGAAGTAAGGCTAAAAGGGATTTCTATAGAACAGGGTGATTCATGTTTATCCACAAATGAAATGGATATCCAGAAAACTTCCATAAACTGTTTTTTAAGATGCGGGGGACAAATCCTTTCAAGACCCAAATAAGTATTTGACTGTCACTGGTACAGATATTACGTTCAATGCCAAGAGTATTAGAACAAACTGAAGAAAGATAACCATTTTAAATTCTTAACTGTGGAACTCTTTCCTGATTTTCTAACTATAGTAAAGTATATAAAGAATGTATGTGATTTACTTATGCTGCTGCTTAGAACTCTTATCTCTGTCTTAACTGCATGCTTTACAGAACTTGTGTTTTGCATTTGAATAAAATCTCATTTTAACTGGGACAATATTTTTTCTTTTCAAACGTAGTGTGCTGACAGTGACGACGCACCGAAAGAAGAGGTCACTTACAGGCAGCTTAAGTCAGTGGAAAGGAAACCAGAACTACTTAATGGTCATATCCCTGCAGGCCACATTCCTAAACCTATAGTGATGCCAGACTACTTAGCGTAAGTGTCTTAAATTTGTTTATCAAAGTCAGTACTGTTAATTGACTTGTTTTTTTTTTTCAAGCAGCATTTCTCTTATTCATGTTTTCTCTGCACGTGCTGCAGAAACTTACAATTCTTTATCAATGCCTTGGACACAGTAACATAAATGATCTGAAACTTAACAAACAAACAACCCTAAAACCCTACCCAAACATTGGAACACACTGTTAGAATCTAGCATGTAATTACCAAAGGAACAGAAGATGCAGGCAATATTCATGGGAAATTTCTTAGCTTTTTAGTTCTATAAATTTGTCTAATCTTGTGTGAGTGCTAAATTGATAATATCCCTTTTAAAGGGTAGGCTTTCCATGTTATCCACAATCTGTTTTGTTTGTCATTTCCAAGATAGAGTGGGTGGCAACCCTGCCCAGTCTAGAAAGGTTGAAACCAGATGTCCTTTAAGATGTCTCCAACCCAAGTCTGTGATTCTGTGGTGAAGTATAAAATAAATTGATTTGTATACTATTTGGCATGTATTTCAGTGGTTCAGATTTGGGACAGCTTCAGCAATTATGAGATGAGCAAACATTACAGAAACACTTTACTGATGTCAAGACTGTGTGCTTGTTGAAGTCTGATGTCTAATATTAGTCACTGAATATTTACTTATTTTAAAGGAAGTACCCAGCAATTCAAACAAATGAAATGCGAGACCGGTATAAAGCAGTGTTCAATGATCAGTTTGCTGAGTACAAAGAGCTGTCTGTGGAAGTCCATGCTGTGTTAAAAAAGTTTAATGAGCTGGAAGCGTTGATGAGACAACTTCCTCAACATCCTGGAAGCATATATGTGAGTACCTGTGAAAAAAAGGGTAATGGTAAGCGTTCAGCTTCTAACTTTCATTGGTTAATGTCTGGTGACATTTGGCAGTGGCTCAGTAGGAGAGAGAGTTTTTCTCAAATATGCTGTTTCTTATTTGGTCATCCATCTAGAATGCAATGATATTGTATATGTATTTGTATTTTTTTTTTTTTCATGTTGTTAGCTTTCTAGTTTGAATAAAGCAAAGTTAACTTGTTTTCACTGTTTCTTAAGTACAAAAGGTACAACTAAAGCCAGAAAAGATTTAATCAGCTGAGAGATTGACTTTTGAGAAGTGTTTTGTAGAGTTTACATGAGTGTGTTTAAACGTGTGTGATATCTCTCCACAGGAGCAGGAAAGGATATCAAAAGTTCTGCAAGAATATGAGAAGAAGAAAAATGTGAGTGTTTTCAGCTTTACATTGCTGATTAATCTAAAGAACAACAAAGGAAGTGTAAATAGACAGCACTGCTGATAGAAATTTGCTACCTTGGGGTACCCCTAGCTATTGCAGGGCTTCGTATATATTGTATTTTAAATCTTTGGCAAAAGGGTGATGCCGCCTTCGCTGTTCATGCCAATAACCTGTTTTGGAGAGTGCTTCTATTAGCCAGGTGAGGAATAAAATAGTTAAGTATTTTTGTCTTTTAACATTGTCATTTTAAAGGTCCGTTCACTTCTTGGGGTAGAGTTTGTTCACATTCACTAGCTGACGTGGACGTCAGATACATTAACGGAAAGGTAGTCTCACACTTAATAAGTTTTTTTTCTTCTTTCTTTTTGGCAGCTTGAAACTTGAGTAGACTTCCAAAAAGTCATTTCCAGCATAATGCAAAGAGTTTCACTTGGTCAGTTTTAAGTGCAGGCAGTAAATGTGTACCTGTGTTCTTTCAAAGCATCCTCCATTCAAGTAACTGTTCTTTTTAATTAAATTTGAGTTGTGTCCATGTTAACTAACTTCCGTTTCCTTTTTGGAGAGGTATTTATTAGACGTATCAGAACCCATATATTAAATAAAAATGATGTAGTAGATTGTAGTTTACATTTGCAGGCTTTTTTTTAAAAACTGCTCTCTTTCCTAAATAGCTGCAGTAGTGTATTAAAGCAGGACTTCTTTCTGTAGCCCTCCATGAAGGAAGAAGAAACAGGCAACAAAAAGTCATGGTCAAAGAAAAAAGTATTATTCTGGCAAATAGTTATATGCTGTCCTTAGTCAAGAACATGCTTGATAATAGACTACTACTGGATAAAACTGAGAGCATAATTATTAATGTAAGAATTTGTGTTTTCTTGGCAGGATCCCGCATTTCTGGAGAAAAAGGAACGTTGTGAATACCTAAAGAATAAGCTTTCTCACATAAAACAGCGAATTCAGGACTATGATAAAGTTATGAACTGGAAAGTGCAAATTTAGCAATGCCTTGAGCTTGCCTACAATATTTTTCTAGTTTTTAAATCAATAAGTGTATTGTAAAATATTTATTTACTCTCAGATCTGTGTACTTTCAGTGGGGATAACAGCTACCTGACCACTTCATCACTTCACTGTGTGTTGTATGTTACTGATAGGTTTTATGTGCAGGTTCAGTTACAAATCTGTGTAATGAGGTTGTCAGATATGTTTAGAATACCAGTGTTAACATTCTGCTTTTTTTAATTAAGCATGGTTTATTTGGCAAGTTGGGGAGTGCACTAGAGAAGGCAGTTCTAAATACTGCGTCAAAAGTGTGTGTGCAAATTCTGTATCAAGGATGCAGACGATGTCAGAATGATATCAGAAGGAGTTGCATTGTTCTCTGTGGCTGGGTTTGGTAATTTGATCACACTGAGGAGTTTCAGCAGGTAGGAAATGAAGTGTACAAGGTGGCTGTATTTTCAAATACACTGTTGTATGTTAGAAATTACTGGGAGTAAGTTCCTATGTAAGCAGTGATCGTATGCTGTTTTTTGTTTTGTTTTTATGCTCCTCTGTAGAGGTGATGCAACTTAAAAGTGGCCTTAAAAGTGACCTTATAAGTGACCTTAGAAGAAGAGTGGCATTGAGTGAGAGTCATGTTTAGTGTTCCACTAGTGTTGCTGTAGACCAAGATGATCTGCATGTATTTTGGGGACGTTTTAGTAGGCTTTGACTGGGTTAAAGAAAGAGAACTTCTCTTTGTCAGCAGGGAGCTGGACTTTCCGCTTTAGCTCAGTTTAAGATTGTGTAAATGTTGCTGTTTGTGAACTTCTTATTCAGTGTAGTACAATGAAATTAATTCTCAAAACAGAAATTATTAGCATCTTTTATAAGGCGAGGAGTATTTTGTTTTCTGGAGTGTATCTTTATAAATTCAATATAACTTTTCTTCTGTGTTGGGGTTACAGGTTTGTATATGCAAATTTTCACATAAGCCAGTGAATTTTCTCTTTTTATACTTTTTCACATCTTTTTAAAAAGCTTTTTACATAGTAAAATTGCTGGAAGCATTGATAGTTTCCTTGTACAGGTTTATATAATTGCAAATGGACTATTTTTTTGAAATGTGTTTTAGTTTCATTAAAAAAATGAAACAACCTAACGATGTTAATCCATTGCTTATATAATCATTTCACCGTTAAAAAAAATTGCCCCTGTTGCTCAGTATTGAAAACACGTTAATACACCTAACTCTGGGATTTATTTCTGGTTTGATTTTTGAGCTCTTATCATCATTTATGTTGCAATCTTGAGGTTTTATTCACTTTCATACTTAAAAAATTGACTTTACAGTTTTATCAGCTACTTGTGTGTTTTATACCTGCTGTAGCATACGTATTCTAAAGAACAGGTTTTTCTTTGTAAGCTTCTTGTCCAACTCCCTGCAGTCTAAATTTCCTTTTGCCGTATGCTTGGCTTTTTTTGTCAGTGGAAACTCGAGGCTTTGCTTCTGTAGCAGAAGTCTAAGCATAAGGAACTTCTTCTTGTAACATGTTGTAAACAGCTGATGGCTCTGATTCTTTTTTTTTTTTTTTTTTTTGGGGGGGGGTGAAATCATAGAATTAATGGTTTGGGCTTCAGGAGACCTCTAAAGATCACCAAGTCCACTCCCCTGCCGTGGATGGGAACGCATTTCATCACATCATGTTAATAAAAGCACCATCCAGCCTGCCCTTGAACACTCTCAGGGATGGAGCATCCACAACTTCTCTGGGCAACCTGCTCTAACCACCCTTCTAGTAAATAATTTGTTCCTCATGTCTGGTCCAACTCTGCTGTGTTCTAGTCTAAAAGAATTATACCTTCCACTGTCTCTGCAGGTATAAAGTTTTTCTTCCTCTTTTTTTTAGCCCCCTGTATGTACTGAAACACTATAGTAACATCTCCTTATAGCCTTCTCCAGGCTGAACAGCCACAGATTGCAGCCAGTCTCCTTTACAGGAGGTGCTCAAGCACTCTGACCATCTTCACGACCCTCCTCTGGACCTCCTTAACAGCTCTGCACCTTTCTTGTGCGGGAGCTCCCAAACCTGGGTGTGATGTTCTAGGTGAGGTCTCAGAAGGTCAAATAAGAGTGAGACTACAAATTTTCTCAATGTGCTAGATGTAGTAACTTATTTAAATACAGCCAAGAATGTACGTACGTATGACTGACTTCCTGGGCTGCAAGCCGAGAACATTGCTGGTTCATAACCAATTTTTCATCAGCCACTGTCTTCAAGTCCTCTCTACAGGGCTGCTCTCAAACAGTTCTTCCTCACATCTGTGCAGGTATTGGGGATTGCCCCGACCCAGATGCAGCACCTACTGAACTTTGTGAGGTTCACGTGGGTGTATTTATTGTGTCATTGTCCCTGCGTATAGCATCCTTTTCCTCTAGAGTGTCATCTGCAAACTTAGTGGGGATGCACTCAATGCCACTGTCATTCATGAAGATGCCTTACGGTGTTGCTCCTTGCACAGACTCATGAAGGACAGCACTTGTTCCTGGTTTCAGTTTGGACTCTGAACTGTTGACTCTAACCCCTTGGTCACCCAACAAATACATATCTCTCCAAGTTAGAGGCAAGAGTGTCTGAGGAGAGGAGCATATCAGGGCCTTTTGAAAGATTCTGTGCCCCTAGTGGACCTTTCTGCCATGAGAACAGTGGGTTGTATTTTCAGCCTCCCTTTGAAAGTGATCTGAGTTTCAGTTTCTGAGAAACTTGCTTCTGGACCTTCAGACAGTATCTGTATAACCTCTGCAGAACTATTGTGCTTCTCTTCCTGCCGATTTTCCAACACAGATTTCGGAGAAATCAAGATTCATGCAATAAGAATTAGTTGCTGTGAGCTTAAACCAATCAAGTGTAGGATAGAAAGGAGGAGTAAATTTAGTGAGAACTAGTGAGAATTGTGAGAAGTGGTCTTTTGATGGTCTTAAAGGAAAAAAGGCAAAGTTACTAGGTGATTATTGCCTTGGTCTGTCTGTGCAGTCTCTTTAGTTTCACCTTTATGATCTACCTGGTTGCATGTACATCTAAAAAGTCTGCTCTGTGACCTGAGTAGCATGATTGCTGTGCTTAATAAATGGCTCTATGCATTTTTGCACAAATGTCTTATGCCTTGAGATTAATGAATAAGATGGTGTCTAATAAATGTAATCAAGAGTTGGCATAACATAGTATGGTTGGCTAGCTTTAACAACAACGTAGCAACTACAAGTACTGGTGCTAATGAAATACCTAATGGATTTGGTTTTGAATTTTTAATTTCATAATTCAAAAATTACGATGGGATTTGAAACATGTGAACACTCACAGTTTGCTCTTATGTCAAGCATTCCTGTCTGGAACTTAGGTTCTTTACCATGACAATAAAAGACATCCCTGTTCTGAAAGAAGCCTTATTTCTACTTTTTTTTTTTACTAATCATATTGGCTTATGCCTGTTTTTTCCATTTCAACACTTTATAAATTGGACTTTGTAAGAAAGTCTGGCATGTGACTGCTGGAAACAAATTTTCTTAGAATTAACAATTATTTCTTTTTTTCATCTTCAGCAGTTTTCACTACTTTTGTCTAAATGTCACAGGTTTTTCTTGTCTGTAGTTTAACTGAAAATAATTTAGTTTTTCCTACATTTTCCCCACTGTTAATGTTTCTCCTGATATATGCAACAGTGTGAAAGCACAAAGTTTTCCACTCCTGTTTATGGAAATGTTACTTATGTTTAAATGTTTTCTTCCTCAGTTCTTGTCTTACTCGGATGCAGAGTGACACGCCTTAAAAACGGATGCTTGGTGACTTTCCTGTAATTCAGAAGGTCAAACAGTCTTGGCACGTTTCCATTGTGCTCAGCAATGCTGTGATTGCTCTGCAGAGAAGCTGGTTACAGTGACCTTCGCTTTATTGAGGTGGTCTTTGTGTTGATGCTTCTGAAAGTCTTGGTGAGCTGAGAGTACCTGCTTGTCTCAGTCCTGAGTAGATTGGATCAAGCTAATGCAGCTAAAACAAGTGTGCCACATCATTTTTAATGATGACAATAAATACAGTGCAAGCTTGCTGTTAAGGGATCAATTAATTAAAACTGAAAGAGCTTGAAATTATATAAATTGTTGTGTAGTTTTTAATGTATTAATGAGTAAACTAATGTTGCAGAGGATCTGGGCGCCGGATACTTGAGAGGGGAACAAGAAACAAACAAAATCAAGAAAACATGGGTTTTCAGAGCATTTTGATTCGGTTTCACACATTCCTTTATTACAACTATGTATTACTGATAGGACATACTTTGTTAACAGTATTGGAGTTTCGAGCTCTGCTTGAAAACATCTCTTTTACACTGGTTGTAAAGTAGTGCACATTAAGCGTGCGCATGCTGCATAAAGACGCTTGCTTTTGCTGATGCTTGTTTTGTGTTGATTGCAGATTTTGCAGTTCAGTTAATACTGAAGTAAGAGTAGGAGAAACAGTTCTTTCAGAACTGAAGTCCTGGAGAAGAAACGCTCAGGAAGATTTCTGACTGCACGCATGGAGCCTGGAGAAGATTGGCTGCTGTATGCTGGCTGCCTGTTCGTCCGCACGTAGGGTAGTTTGTAAACTGTGCTCAAACGACATGCTTTCATTTCGTACGCTTTACGGAACAGAACTGTGTTTGTTTCTGTAGGACCCCCCGGGCACGTAGCCGCTCGGGAGGAACGAAGGGCGCGGGTGGCGGGCGCAACCGGAGGCTAATGACTGCAGCACCGGGAGGGGCCCAGCGGCGCTTCCGGCCCAAGAGGGGGCACGTCCGGCGAGAGGAGGTGCGTGTGCGTGTGTCCGCCGCGCTGCAGCTGTGCCCGCCCGCCGGCAGCGGACCGGCTGTGTCAGAGCGGTGCCGCGGCCATGGACGACGAGCCCGAGAGGACTAAGCGCTGGGAAGGAGGCTACGAGAGGACGTGGTAGGTTTTCGTTTCCATGCCTCGCTTCGCTGTCGGCGCAGGACGAGGAGAGCCTTCAGGCGCTCAGCGGGAATCTCCCTTTTCCGTAGGGAAGTACTGAAGGAAGATGAATCCGGGTCGCTGAAAGCAACCATCGAGGACATCCTCTTCAAGGCGAAGAGGAAAAGGTACGGTGCCGCACCCCAGCCCTGGTCCTGTCGCTGCTGTGCTCGGTGTCCCTTGCGGCGATCCGAGCCGGGCGGCGTGGGTCTGCTTCAAAAACCCGCCGAGAGTTTTTACAGAGGGCGGAGGTTCTGTGTCACATTGCCCGGAGAACAGCTAGATTAAAAGCCTGGGCTTGCTTTGCTTCAGATTACGTCAAAACAACCAGTGTCATGTGAAATTGTAAAGACGAACCTCCTGGCTAGAACTGTGTTCGGTTCATTGGGTTTTCTTCTGTTTGTTTAAAACGCACACAGTCAGACCGTGATGAAGGGTTGATTGCAGTCTCACCTTTTGCCTTCTCTCAGTGGAAATGCACATCCATGGCTCATGGGTGCTTTTTATTTGCCAAAGGCACAATATTGGGTTAGTTCCAGACTTTGTTTCAGCCCCCATTCCTTCACTTGCATCTTACTTGAAACTTTCTGTATGTTTTGTCAGAATCTACGAACACCATGGACAAGTCCGGCTGGGAATGGTACGTCAACATCCTATGGCCATCCTGAGCACACAGCAGATTCAGCAGAGGTGGCATGCCCAACCTGAAGCAGCTTGTGCTGACTAGATGTGCTTGAGAGCAGAGCTTGCACCTTCTCTCTGTTTTCTGAAGGCAGCAGGGTGGGCTGTGGAGCACCAGTTTGGTGTGTGTGCAGAGTGCACCTCACAGGTGCAGCCAGCCCAGTGCGTGCTTAACGATGGAGTTTTCTCCGTGTGAGAAATGAATAGCTTTCATGAATTGCAGATTACAGCATTGCTTCATGCAACACCAAGGTCTTCTAATAAAGACATTAAACAGGTGCAGACTACTTGTAGCTGGCCTGCAGAGGAAAAGAGCAGTGAATGTTTTTCAAGATAGATGAACGTTCCATTTCAGAGGTGAAATGGAAAAATGCTAAAACTTGCTCCTTGTGTTAAAGCATAAGCCTGCAGCAGAATTAATGTTTGTGGTGATAATGCAGATGCGTCACCTTTATGTGGTTGTTGATGGATCAAGAACTATGGAGGACCAAGATCTAAAGCCGAACAGACTGACTTGCACTCTGAAGGTATTTCTGTACTCGAAATTCACATCTTTTTAACCCGCTCTTTTTCTGTAAATCGCTTCCATTTTGCATTTAAAACAATGGCAGTCTCCTGCAACCAGGTTTCTTACGCAGCCTCATCTCTCCTCTCATACGTACTGTTTTTTTCCCTTGTTTCTGTTGCTGACCAATGATTTTCCTGGGGTAGTTTACTTTCCCTTTTTTGAATTGTAAAAGCTGTGTAACTTCAGAATGCGTTGCAGGAGCACTTCTATACAGCAGAGGCAGTGGAAGTCTTCAACAGTGTAGAAACTAAGGTGCAGTGATGGCAGTGATATTGGATTGAAGAACAGACATTGAACATTACACATTTAACAGCCTTTTGTTCTTGGGACTGTGGTTTGAATAGATGATAGACAGGAGTTTGTATTGCTGCTTCAGGTGGTAAACTTCTAACTTGAACTGTCCATGCAGTGTTATTAGTGAAAGATCATATAATACAAAGCATTAAAATCCTGAGTTTTGAAGATTTTTTACAGATTAATGCTTTTTGGTATGTCTTTGAAGTAACGTAATGCAGAGCTTCAGCATATGAAGTGAATGAAATGAAAGACTGCTAGTGTCTGGTATTGATTTGCATAGGTAACACTGGAAGAAGAATGGAAGAGCTTGGGCAAAGGGCAACAAATGGCAGGGGCAGGCTTATTTCCCCCTCCCTTATTTTTTTCATTGACCGAACTGTTTTCCAAAAACTGTAGCAGCAAATTATTACACGTGGAGCAACACTGTATTTAGTTTTTAACAGTCTCATTTTTTTCCTTCTAGTTACTGGAATATTTTGTTGAAGAATACTTTGACCAAAATCCTATTAGTCAAGTGAGTGGAACCATGCAAGAAACAACGTCCTGGGCAGATTTTTACCTGTTTGATTCAGCAGCAATTGAAGATGTATTAAATACTTCTGTAGTAAATCACAGGATTAGATTGTGTGATTGTTAATAGCACTTAATAGATTGTGTGATTGTCAATAGCACTTAATCAGCACTTTATCATCAAAGGTCGCAGCCTGCTGCAGTCCTGCCAGCCTCAAGGGGTTCCCTGCTTAGGATCATTATTGTAGGGCCTCAAGATCATTGACTTCTGTCAGTAATGTTCCATTCTGGCCGCAGTTCAGGTGAGGTCATTTTCAGCCATGATAGAATTTCAGAGTGAAGATTCTGGTAGCTCTTAGATGAGGTCATAAGGCAGGCAGCAGGAATTCCAGGTGTGGTCAGGAAGTTCCTGACTATCCTAACTGCTTGGGCAAAGGCAGAATTCCAGCGCTGGCTTACTCTGAGATTGCAGAGCCGTGTGAGGACTGCCCTGGGACTGAAATCGCTCCGTCTCTCCACAGAGTGGCAGTGTGGTCACCTTTGGCCTCTGTGCCTATGAATAAAGCGCCTGTGTGTGTGTATTTCTTGCTTTCATGTGCTTTGTCTAATTAACTGAAAATTTAGCTTGTCTTGTGCACATGAGGGAGCCTTTTCTGCAGTACAGGTTGGCAATTGAAGGGTGCCAGGGTGCTAAGGTTTGAAGGGTGCCAGATGAATGTAGCCTGGCATCCTTCAAACCTTGGTGTACAAACCAGTAGCTAACTAGAAGCATAATAAGAGCTAGTAAAATAGTGATGATGTGTATTAGGTTCAGTGTTTCAGCTGAAGTAGGAGACCATCCAAGCAGGACTTCCCGCCATCAGTGTTTCCCTCTGACTCTGTCCAGTACTTGTATTTCTTCACTACTATAAGAGACAGTGGTGAGCATTTGAAGTCCTGTTTTCTGTGCTTGTTGTAGGTAGCTGAGATCAGAATGATGGAGGAATCACTTGACTAAAGTCAGATTCACCCCAGTAGTTGTTGGTCGTTACTCTTGATGTAGCATAAAACCAAAAGACAAATCTTTGTGATTACAGGTGTAAAGAAAACATAGCAGAGATGTAAATCAGCATATTTTTCACTAAGTTTTGCTGTTTTGTTTCCCTCTCTAGATGGGCTTAATTGTAACCAAGAGTAAAAGAGCTGAGAAGATGACAGAGCTTTCAGGTAGGGAGGCAGTATCTTTCTTTAAAACTGCAGATCTGTGGCAGCGCAGTCAATTTCTCAGCTTTATATCTTCTGGTAGCTGTGCTTTCCTTGATGTTTGGCAAGTTGTTGTGAAGCAAGATTCCTCAGGTTCTTGCTTTCTGTCACCAGCAAGAAA